CCCCCCCCCCTGCAGCTGACACTCCTGAGCATTAAGGACAGCCCATCCTTTCCCCCCCAATAAAATAAACCTGCTCAAAGGCTACGAGGAGCTCTCCTGCTACGAATGTGTTCAGGGAAAAGGGAAGGCTGATTGTGAGGGAGGAAGTTGGAGAAGCAGAGGCAGCAAAACAGTGTTTACAGTCTCCAAACCAATAAGCAGATAGGCTCTGAGTTTCTGAAGACTCTGTTAGCACAGAGGGGGCCCCCTTACTTTCAGAAGCTTCCTAGCAATAAACCTCATCTCACTTTTCTACTGGTAGGGAGAGTAAATGCTTTTTAGTGGCTGATTAGGGAGTAGCTGATTATGGGAGCATGCATCAGCTCCATCTTCCATGCATATTTCCAGGGAGTTCAACAGCAAGGTCATGGGTATGACTTTTTAAAATTGTATAACCTAAAAAGTAAATCAGCAGATCATGTAGGAATTTTGGTCCAATAGACAGAATCCTCTAAAAAGCCAGGAACACACCAGCTGCCATCTCACTTTTTCCCCCAGAGAAGCATGCTAGCCGTGACCTGGCTGAACTTACAATCAGCAGCTCACAGCACACAGAGGAACATACAGAATCCTGCAGCCCTGCACCTGAATGAGGAGCAGACTAATAAGGGAAAAGATGAAGAACCTGACTAGACAGGATTCAGAATCATGAGTAAATGTACAGAGTTTGACCACTGTAGACTTTACATCTTTCTATTACTCTACAGATAAATAGTGGATTATGTATCTCTCCCTGAAAAATCAAATATAATTTGATCACTGATTACCAAGTAAATAGTAGCTCTTCAAATGGAGCGTACAGGCAGAATAGCATGAAAAGCAATGTTTATACACCTTCAACAGACCTGCAGGGTTACCTACCTGATTCCTTATAAAGGGGCACTGCATGGTGCCATAGTATCTTGGAGTGTCTAAGCTATCTTGGACTGAATCAAAGTATATTTGGTGGTTATTTTCAGTTGCTAAATAGATGACACATCTGCATGGGAAGCAGGAGTATGGTTTACCTGATTCTCACCAAACATTTGATGGTATTAAGGCAGGCTAATTTTTTTTTTAAGTACACTCTCTGAAGTATCACATTAAGTTTTAAGGAGGAGATGGAGAAAGTGCAATGACCTGCAGTACAACTCAGTTTCAGTTTTCTACATGCAACAGGATTTTCCCGCACAGTGTATTTTTTCCATAAAAAAGACTTTATGCTACCAATGCAAAACCACTATTCTTTATCACCAAGCAACCACATCACTGAGACATAAATAGCTGTGTCTCACAGTACATACTTTCTATCCAGCCATCCCTCTACCATAGCATTGAGCATTCAGGCAAACAGTCTCCCATCTGGTAGATGTGATCTGTTCTGTGTGTGATTTGTAAGCTCCCACAGATGGTGTTACTCCACTGCAGTGTGTGTGGGGGAACAGGGGAGAGTCATCACCACCAATAGCACCTTAAATTTCACAGGGATGAAAGAGGCCCCATTGTGCTACAGATATGCTAGGTTAATTGAACTGAATGTAATTAAGGGTTGGGGGGTTAATTTTTTGCACCAGTAATGTGCAGATCTTTGACAAATCTTCTGCCATTGGAGACGAAACAAAATATTTCCTCACACTGAGTACTGGATAGTGGAAATCAAATCCCAAACAAAAGCTGTATTTCCCTCAAACTTTTCACTGGCCAACCTCCTACTTTTCCAGATGCTTTTTTACTGTTCACAGGCATTTTGCCTTTATACTCTGCTTGTTTTTCTAAGGATCTCAATCTGACATAAAACTAGCTCTAAAAGACTAAAGTGGTTGCTGAGGGTAGTAGCATCCATTCAAAACTTTTACTCAGAGGGGTTGGTGAGTGTTACCCTTATCTGATAGATTTCAGTGGAATAAACGGACTCATGTGTGGGGTGACATTCTGCACACTACTGGGAAGGGAACAGCGTGTCTAGGGTAGATTAAGGAGTGCTCCCTGCCCTAGTGCCTTATAGCGAGGGAAACTGACTACAGATCATTAAGAGGCTCGAGAGACACAGCGCTGCTGTCATTTCAGCTCGTCTGTAATGCCCCAAAAGGTGGAAACTCTGGGAAGTGAAACCACACTGTGCTCTGCAAAAGCTACCGCTCTGGGGATGGGAAAGACCCAGTAAATTGTACTCTTACCCCCTCCATTTTTGTAGCAGAGGTAGGGAAATCTCCAGACATTGGCCAGATCCACAGCAAACCCAATGACCGAGAGCAGGAAATCGATCTTCTTGCCCCAGGTCTCCCTGTCGGGCTGCCCCCCGGCGCGGTAGTGCAGGCTGGCGGGGGCAGGCAGGAGGCTGCTGCTGGTGTATTGCACTCCATTCTGCTCCTTCACCAGGATCAGCTCCACGTCCTTCTTGTGGGCCGGCTGGCCGGAGCCGTCCTGCAAGGGAGCCACCGCCGACACTCTGCGCTCCGGCTGGCTCTGTTTGCTCATCCTTGCCTGGCACACCAGCCCGGGCGCTCCGGAGGGGGAGGGCGGGCGCGGGGGGTGGGGGAG